GGTAACATTAAAAGTTTATTTTCTAACAACTTAATTTGCAAAATCTTAAAGCTCCTGTGAGGAACTTTCGGTTTGTGTCAGTTTTGGCGCCCCCTGTGGACAAAGCACTCTTTGCTTATCTTAATTTTTTTTAAATTTAAATTTATTTTCATTTCATTTTATTTATTGTGACTATTTCAGGTGATGATTTTAAAAACCAGAGCTGTCTCTAAAGCTACAAGACTTGGACCTACCCCCTCACACGGGTTTCAAACAATAGAAATAAGGATTTTAAAATCTTCAGTATTGTCGTTTATAAGTTTGTTTGCTTTTGTTTAGCATAACAAGGCATCACCATGAATTTCCTGTCAGTTTGATATACATCCAAAAACTCCTTACAGGAGCTTTAAAAAGAAACAAAAAACATCCAATGCTGACGAAAAAAAAAGCCTATTTTTCTGTAATTGGGCCCTGGAGTCTCACTGATGGTGGACATAATCCCTGATTGTTGTCCCATAAAGTAAAAAAAAGTCTATCCTTAAAGTTTTCACCATGATCATGAGCAGCTGTTTTTAAGAAGAAATGATAGTAACATTGTGCTGAAGATAAGCGCTCTGATAGAAGATAGAAGACTCAGGAACAGCTGACTGGTCTTCATCACAAAGTTTCTGGTTTGGGAGCTTCTTGGGTTTCCTGAGATATAATATTGACATGCTCTCACTTTACTAGTATCAGCATAGGTCATTATTAACTAACATCAGTCCAACATTGATTGTAACAGTGTGACTGATTTTTTTTTTTTTAATAAATAAAAAAGGGTTCATTTATAAACTCAGAGGAGTGTTTTCACACTGTAAAAAACTGGATCATCGTTCTCGTTCCAGAGCTGACTGGGTTCATGTGTCAGGACATGTAAACAAACAGAAAAGCACTTCTTGTTTTTCTTTTCTCCATCCTGACCCCCTGTCCTTCCTCCTCTGCTCCTCTTGACCTCCTCACCCTCGCTCTCTTCACTCTCTCACCTGAGGGCAGAGACGGTGAACCTGCCGAGCTGAGTCAAAGCCGGGACGATGTGTTCTTCTCTCAGACTGTGTCTCTTCGTCTGTCAGTCTGCACTTTTCACACTCCAGATGCCCTCAGACACACCTCATATCTGTGTGACGGTGTAAAACACCCTCATACTCTCACACTACAGCAGCTCTGCATGGTTCACCTGCAGGACAGGAGGGCTGCAGCTCCTGGGTCAAACAGTCAGGAGGAGGAGGAGGAGGAGGAGGAGGAGGGATCAGGGCACCAAAACCAACATGTACCTCTGCTTAACCTGCAAGTGTTTGACTGACTGAACAAACACAGGCTGCAGGAAACACCCACACAAGTGTAAGAAGTGTATCTGCAGCCCTAACTCTAACCCTAACCTTAGCTGTGCATGAGTCATGTAATCATATCTAATAAGGATCCCTTAATTTTTAACAGGAGCAGAGAAGAGGAGCAAAACAACCTGTACCCTCTTCCTGCAGCCAAAACACGTCTTAAAAAGGCGAAGAAGTAAATATCAGATCAACAGTTAATGAGTCATGGACACGAGACTCAGATCCTGTAAACGAACCCTGATGCACTCGCATATTTTGATATTTAGCAATGTGGAGGTGGGACACGAGTTTCCACAAGTAAAGAAAAAAAAAACACTGTAATTCAACTATCTCCTACATTAACTGCTCTGTTAAGATACTGTCTGTTATATTAACTGACTGTAAACATGAATAATCAAGAAGAATCAAATCCAAACTGCATTAGCTTCTCACATCTTTAGTGAACTGTCTGAAGTTGTTTTTCTGAAATTATTGCACAATTTAGTTTTAGTTTGAAACGAATTTTAAAGATGAATTTGTTGTAAAAAAAAAAATGACAATGTATAAAAGTTTGATTTCTTCATCAATAAAGCCCCTCACTTGTATTTTGCTACAAAGGTATGTAAAAGTGGGGCGAATTAACTTCAACATATTGAGAAATAAGAGAAAAAAACAGCAGAGAGGTAAAAAATCTGGTGGTTTTGATATTTAGATCAAATAATTTAAGCATAAAAAGCAGGGCTGCATGATTAATCTATTTTAAATTATAATCAGATTATTTGATTATGACGATGTTAAAAAAATTAAAATCATCAAATCGATTTTCCTCTCTATCATGTCTCAAGTCTCTGGGCCACCGTAGGCTCCCCCGTCCTGCAGGAGCGCTCCCCAGTTCCCACAAACACCAGTGTAAACAAACATGGCGTTTGCAAAAGAAAGTGACAATTTCATGGCTAAAAGTTTATTTTATCTTTAAAGTAAAGTTTGGTGAAGTTGAAAATCGAGTTTACAGAGAAAAAAAATCTGGATTTTATTTTTAGCCCTTTTAAAAAGTGTCAGATTTGACCAAACCCAGAGTGCAGATTACGCTGATTTCTTACTTTTTGCATTTCGATATAAAAAATAATCAACCACACTTTTATGAGGCACGATTCTCACTACTGTTAACACCTCATGGTATTACTATATGCTGCTATGAATGCTTATTACCACTTCTTATAAATGCATTTATAAGGCTTTGTAAATGTTCATATATGGTGTTACTGATTATTTTTATAAACTGCACAATCATCAGATTGATGCCATCGGTGTTTTGGGAAGCCTGTCTTGTTTTATCATATGCTTTATTATTGGTTATGCAGTTAAATAGGAGGGGGGTGTTAAGATCTAGTATTTACAGACTCTGGTATAAAGGCATGGTTGGACTGGGATGATAAACCTCATGAGAAATGACACTTTAACCCACTACTTTCATAAAAATTTAAACCGTATAAACTCTCACACTCCTTTTCTCCAACCGTAGACACCTGCACCAAGTTAACCTTGTTGCTATCTTGTCGCTGCTGCCCCTCTTAACCCACTTTAAACGGTTTACAGATAATATCACCCACTCCAGTCACAAAAGGATCCTCTCCAAAGATAAACAGCTTTCTACTTTGATATCTCACTCCTCGTAGTCCAGACAGCTCCTGAACACATGCCAACAGAGACACAAATACCTGCTCCGCGTCGCTCAAAGAGCAGCCTCTCATTGTGAGCTGGAATAAAGCCGTGCGTATGCAGAGCAGGGATATGTCTAGCGCCCTTATTGTGTTTGCAGTACAGATGCATTCAAAGCAGCGAGCCGCCGAAGAACAGGCCTGCTGTAGATTAGCCGTCGTTACAGCGACCCTTGCGGCTAATCCTTGCACGCACGCCACCGGGAATGTTCCACTCCCAAGACACAGGCTTGGATTAAAGCTGGGAGTTATCGACATGTGCAGCACACACACAAAGAGAGCGCCATTAGCATAGGGAACGACTGGAGCTGCTCTCTTTTGTGAGGGGCAGATGAAGCCGAGCCCCCACTTTCTGCATAAACAGAAGTCAGCGCTGGAGGAGCAGACGGAGGAGAAGCAGACAACAGTGATGACAAGGAGTGAAATTTGTTCTCAAACTCTGCACCTCTAAACACCGCCGAGCCGCATTAAAAATCACAAAGGGTGCAAACTTGCTCTTTATGTTGCGCCGCCATGCACCCTCATCAACTCGGGAAAACATCCTTTCACCGTTTCAATATGGTTTTCCCAATTTCTCCACAAGGAGCATTAAAGTTTCATCCTGCTTATAATGACTGAGGGCATTGTTGTGCACCAACAACAACAAAAACTAATATTTACAGACATGCACACTCCGGATGTACCAAACATTCGGAGCTGCAGCATCTTTAATGTGATCCAAATCTGGTGTTTCTAAGCTTTAAAGTCCTTGTCTCTTTCTGTGAGTGGTTTGGTTTAAATAAGATTTAAATAGTTGGTTTAGTCAGTTACAAAATGACGTTTTTTCATAAACTTTTAGGGGTTATCTAACCGCGCCAAAAAAAAAAAGGGGGTTGGTTTTGGTTTTTCTTTTGCTGAGATTTTAGCAACAACCCAGTGTGTGAAAATGCTAATCTGGGACCATAAATGACACAATTTGAGGTATTGGAAGCACACTGGTATCTACTTGTGGTGTCCTGGTGTAACACTGATATGGTGCACATACTGTCAATACTCCAACATATTAAAGATTCACATACAGAAAATGGTAGTTAAGTGATTCAATCAGCTGCGGAGTCTGGTGATCCAGAGTGGAACAGAAAGAAGTCGGTGTAAATTGACACGTTAACTTGAATGGTTACGATCAGCTGTGATTGTTGGATACAGCCTTTTTCGTAGCTGTTCCGGATGCAGTGGAAATTGGGGGTAATACAACAGCATATAAGTCTCCAAATATGATATTTATGGGGTTGGAATTTTGATCGACTCGAAGAACTTTTGACAACTTAACATTTTTGACTTTGGTCTAATAGATGCTTTGAAAGTGATTCTTCTCATATCAGCTAGAGCAACTCTCCCACCCTTATTAACCCCAGATAGCACACGTACATCGCACCAACGTTGGCCCAATACATCTGGTTTCATCGCCAAGATGTCACAGGGAGATCGTTTGCTAATTGCCACAATGTCGACTCCCAATGGGTGACTGTCCAAACTGGAAGGCGGTTCGGCCAACTGATGCAAAAACAACCTTGCTGAGACGTTTGATGAGCTGGGACGTTATAGACTGGAGGCCGACGGGCCGTTCTGAGACATATGTGTGCTATCTGGGCCATATTTGAGTCTCTGCAAGGAGAGACATAAAGTAAGTTAGTAATATCTTACTGATATAAACTTTCTGTGTACTACAAAAGTAGATAACCTTTGACCTCAGACTACCCTTCTTTGGTGTCTTTAGGTGAACCAGCAGCTTTTCCCAGGCAGCACCAGGCCTGCAGTTGGACTGAACAGTATCATTGTGTGCGACCACCCTATCCACTTCATCAGCTGCTCGTGTTTGTGTGTGTGTGTGTGTGTGTTTGTGTGTGTGTGCAGCTCCTGAGGCTCCGAAAAGTTCCAGAGTTCAGTGACTCATAGAGTTTGGCTGCAGCCGGCGCTGTTTTCTCCTGCTGCTGCTGCTGCTCAGGCGTTCATATTCACGATCTGCCAGGCATTGTGAAACCTGGGAGTATCCCAGCTTCATTAATCCACCTCCCAGACAACTGCATGGAAAGACAAATGTTTGAAACGCTCGTGTTAGTCAACTAGGTGACCTGATTGACTCATTGTTTTCAACGGTATCAAAACAGCTTAGATAGAGGTTAAAAAAAGCCAGAGGATTGACCTTTACCTGCGTCTCAAAGGCAAACTAGCCAACCCAGCGGTGAATTAGTTCAACTAAGAGGAGAGGCATTTTTATTGATCGGACCGCTCAGATGGACTGGATCTGTTGGGAGTGGAGAAATTGATCCTGCAGAAGCTCCTCCAAGGACAGTAGTCTCTGTATATGGAGGTAAACACCTTCACTTTAAGGTCAAACCAAGCAGCAGCCTGCTCTTGGGGGTAATGAAGCGAATATAAAAGTGCCAAAAAAATGCAGTTCCATAAGTGTCCACATGGGGCAAGCTGCAGATGCACTAGAAACCACATACACACTCATTCAAAAAGGCCCATTTTACAGCAAAACTTACCACATTTACAGCCTGATAGAACAAGTTTTTTTTGTCTCAGTAGTTCAGTCTTTTTCTGAACACACTCTACAGGAAGTGGATTTATTATGATGCATTTTTTTCAAAAGATACGAAGGCTGCAAGTTTGGTAAATTTCATGAAAACACTGTCGTTTTATGGTGTTTTTACTAAATATTCAGGTAAAAACAGGTAAAAGGATGGTCATCTGTTACTGACCTGTCTTGGCGTGGCCACCTTGAGTCCGGTTTTGGGTTCTCAGTCAGCCCAGATCCTTCAAAAGAAACAGTGTGAAGATCGTAATTAAACTAAATCATGTTTTATTATCTGGGTGAACTGCAACAGCACATATTCACCGGCATTGACATCAGCTAGGTTAAGGTAACCAGATTCTAAATCCCCAAAAAGAGGACACGACTACCCAGGGTGGAGTCTCATAGAAAATTTTGAGAGTTTTTCGGGTTGGGTTGAGTTGAGTGTTTTTTACGCATTTCTAGCTCAGTTAGTCCACGCTACACAGACTCAAAACTTCCAAACAAAACTCCAGACATTTTAAGGGACTTTATAAACTTTTTTATAAAGAGGACATGTCCGTGTAAAAAAGGACGTATGGTCACCCTTAGCAAAGTCAATTTGAACTTCATTTAAAAACAAATTTTCTCTGAAACCATGAGTCTCTTACATGTTGATGGTTTCTGGGTCGCTTGAACCAAAACTGGTCCTCATGAGAAGTCCGGACAGAGTTACTGGGCCACGTTGTTGTGGTTTAATTAAACTGTGTGACAGAAACTCATTCCTTTAGCTCACACTCGTTGCCGTTGCCCTCCTCTTAAATCCTCCTCTGACTGTTTGATCTTCTGCTAATCTCCAACAACTCTTCTGCTGTAACCTCGGTCTGTTGCTCAGGCTGTTCTGTTTACATGTTGCAGAATAACCCAGTTTTCCTGAGCTTAGCGGTGCCAACACACAGTCTAAGTATGACCGTTTTGCAACGAATAGAAAGGTATGATTGAGTCAACACCTGTCTGCTCTCTGCGTCTCTTATTAAAGCATTAAAACATCAACACAAAGGTGGATTGTTTGCTCAGCAGTCTCAATGAAATGCTCAGTCTCCGTTCATTAATGAGTGACCAGAATTTGATAACATTAGAGATAAAACTCAGAACTGTGTATCAGTGAATCACTGGATAGTGAAGCTTTATATAAATGATTCCTGTCTGAGAACAGTTTGTAACGGACCCACACCCTGATTAAAGAAACTGTGATTAAGCTGCTCTGACTTAATCATTAGCTAACCGTTCAACATTTATAACTGGGTCATTATATTTCACGTTAGTTTCACCTCACTGTTGTGTTTGAGGACTGGAGGATTGTTAATATGAATGTAAGATTTCATTTTTTGTTGTTCTGCAACTGTCTCGTTTGTTTTACTCACAGAGATGATGGAAAAATCAGGTGTTTTAGAACGTTTCGGACCACGTCATGCTGGTAAAAGAGCTTCAGTGCAGCTGAGCGTTGGTGCTACAAGTGTCTGAATTCTTCTGGAGTGATGACGCCCCATAAACAAAGCGTAATAAATCTAGGCATTCTACATCGCAAAATGCATTAAATTCTTTTTAGACATACAACTGTAATTTTTCTCTTTCTGAGCCAGTTCGCGTTCTTATCATCCGTATTTCTATCCTTGAAGTTTACAGATACAGGCCAGACGGAGCAGTACCACCTGAAACTGTGGGGGCAGTGTTGCTGCTGTCACTGTGCAATATGCATCTCAAGAGAGAAATGAAGAAGACAATGAGGGGGCAAAACAACTTGATTAATGCCCCGGCGGAATTCCTGAAGTGCTGAAAATGACGATTATCGTCGATTCCTCTCATCGGTGAGACTAGAGAAAAGAATTCTCCGTCCTCCAACTGCGAGGCATTTAGTGGCCTGACTGACCACTACCTCCTCCTCCAACGCTGCCTCCGTTTCTGTCTCCCGTGCAAAATACACATTATCACTCACTCCTCCACAGTCGCCATGTTTCTTTATGTTTGTTGTTGTCAGAAACGTTTGACTCTGGCCTGCCCCCTGGTGGATGTAATGGTTAACACCCATGCCAACGTAAGGGACACATGGAAGTATGTGGGAGGGGATGGAACCATCGTTTCTCATTTATGGCGAGCATAAATGAGCCTTAAGTCCGTGCATTAAGGCGGCCTTGATGACCTTAATTGTTCCCCTAGTTATCGCTCGATCAGGTGTTTAAAAGCTCTATCCATCAGTCAGGCTTGTTTCTCCCATTATGCGATGTCTTAAGTTGTTTGTATCTATTCAGCTCTGAGGCGGCGGCAGTATCTGGAGACTTGACTTACCGACTAGAAGGTGGTTGATTCAAGTCTTGGTACAGACCAGAGTATGGTGTTTGGGACTAGCTCCAGTTTTTAGTTCACTGTCATCGTTGAGGCGTCCCAACCATGTGTAGCCCCTTTACTCTGACATCTTTCCATCAATGCATACCTGTGTTTGTGCATACTCAGTTTGATTTTATGCTTTTAGACTCGTGTTTAGACAGGAGACTATGAAAGACAGCAGGAATTGATCTTACGCCCTGTGTGATGAGGACTAGAGCTTCTGTAAATGGGGTGTCTGCTCTTCTAATTCAGCTGAACTGGTGTCCCATTTATGACCTGTGTGTGAATTTCTCTTTGGTATCAAGTAAATATGTCTTCTTCATCTTCTCTTCAGCCACTGTTGATCTGTGGACATTGCGTCAGCTCTTTGTGTGCTGATAAGAGATTAAAGTCATCACAGCTGGACATAAAGTTGCTGCTGTCGAGGAAGGAAGACCTGCTGAGCTGGTGCTAATGTGTTTAGCATTTTGCATCTATTTCTAGTGCGCTAAATCAGGAAGGTAACGTCACCCCAGAAAGACCCCATCATCAGCATACGAATGTTTCATCACTGTTAAGGTACCAGGCCATCTTCTACAACCACTATACTACAGGGGTCCCTCTCAAGTTTTCACTTTTTCTGAGAATCTGTATTTACATTAAATAAAAAAACTAAGCCAGTGTGAAAATTTGAAGTCTACCGATTGACACCGATCCCAGGTTTGAGCTCTGGGTGTGCTGTGAAATACCTGAAATTAGCTCAATAAAACCTGGATAATCTAAAAGCTGCTTGATCATGTAAGACATTACGTAACATTACAGAGCGTTGTGTGTGCATGACCTGTTTTTGTGCATTGTTGAACTTTTGTCTGCACACACTAAAAGCTGCTGCTGTAAACTGATCTTACATTTTATGATAAAGTCGTGAACTTTGCATTGTGTGGCCCCGAGCTAATTCTTTTACAGACTGTCATTAATACCATTTATCATGTGGAACTGATTAAGCTGACACACATGATGAACAGCCAATCTAAACATGACGCTTTTACTGTGTCACATGTTTACAGGTTATCTCGCTCCTGCTCGCCTTAAATCTGTTAAATCTGTGCTCTGACTACAATACAAAAATATCTTTATACTTTTTTTTACATTACATTTGAAATCTATTCAAGGAAATTCACTCAGTGAGCCGATTCCAAGTCCTCCGTGGATTCGGTTAGCTCATCACCTCTCTTTAGAAAATCCAGGTTTGATAATTTAAGGCGCCTTAGTGATTATTACTTATTTATTGGTTTCAACAGCATCAGTTTATGACAGGAGGTGGACTAATGTGGCTCCTTTATATTTCGATATGGAAAATTTCCATCTTTAGTCGATAAAGCTTCTGTGAGTTTTTTTTTGTTTTAAAATAGTCAAGTCAAAGTTTATTCATAAAGCACCTTTAAAAGACAGCAGTCAGACAAAGTGCTGTACATGGGATGAATAAAAGAAGTGAATGAATGAGAAATCAATAAAAAATAAAATTAAAACAGTAGAATAAAATAAAGACAGTAAAAGAATCAAAGCTTCAGTGCCTCTGGTTCTTGTGTGTTCATTTATTAAAAGCAAGGAAGAAAAAGTGGATCTTTAAAGATGATTTTATAATAGGCTAAAATTTATATTTATTCATTTTCATCGTCTACAAAAGCAAACAAGATATTAAGTGACGTGTTTGTTTTTTTGGTTTGGTTTTTTTTTTGTGATTTTTGCCTTTTACTGTGTCACATGTTTAGATTGGAAATATAGGGAGAGAGAGAGAGATGGGGAGGGACATGCAACACCGACTTGAACCTGTGATCGCTCATGCGTGGGGTGCATTAACCCGCTTACCCATCTGCACACCCCCGTTTTAAGATTTTTTACATTTTACTACCTAATACTGGTACAGTGCTACAATGGTCCAAATATTTACAATAAATGACAAATTTTACAGTTAAAAATCAATAAGAGAAGATTTTAAGATGCTTAAATATGTAAAAGACAAGATAAACAAAGATGGCCTTGTCCACAGGGGGCGTCAAATCTGACACAAACTCAAAAGTCTTCGTTAGACCTTTAATAATAATAATAATAATAATAACAACAATAACAACACTCTGCTGAGAAGGGATAGGCGATAAATTATTGTTCATCCTCCAGGATGATTATTTTCCATCTCACGATAAATGAGATAAACTTGCCGTCAAGATAGGGGTTTAGACGAGCACAATCAGGTACGCCTGACATTTGACAGTTGATTTGCTGCTGTTCACTCTGTGCAATTAGAGTTTTTTGGCTACTCCAACTGGTGTTCTCAAGACAAAATGAGTCAAAAATACAGATTGGAATTATAATATTTCTTATCAAGGACTTTTATTGTTATCGCCAGAGTGGAAAATGTTACCGTGATAAATTTTTTA